GTACTTCTGGGTAGTTTATGTGGGAATTATATATATATATATATATATATATATATATATATATATATATACACAGTCAGTAGCAAAAGTATTTAACACATTGGTTTTTCTTACATATCTCAAAAAATAATAGATCAATTTTAACGAAACTTATAAGAAATATTTAAACGAACATTAACCCGAACCTGCAGATGAATGTTATGATCCCTGTTTATAAATTCCAGTTGCATAAGGTCTTTTTTTAATTTTTCACAAGCTTTCATCTGTGCATAGAGACATCATCTGGTATGGAAATAGATTTGTTTTTTACATCCCGGAACGAAATATGGTTTTAGAAATTTGTTATTTGTAAGAAATTGTAAGATATTTTGGAGCGTGCGGTCGCAACGCTGAGGTTGAATTTTTAAATTTTAAGATTGTGCGTTTTTGTACTAATATGGTAATAGGAGAATTCTTTTGTACTGGTAGGTTTTTCAGTCAATGTGGCATGAACTAAATTGTTCAATAAATACAGGAATGTCATAGTTATTATCCGAAAGTTGCACGTCGGATCAGTTATTTTAATATCAAGTGTGTGGTGCACAGATGAAAGCTTGTAAAAAATTTAAAAAAGACCTTATGCAACTGGAATTTAGAAACAGGGATCATAACATTCATCTACAGGTTCGCGGTTAATGTAATTTATTAAATTTGTTTGCGAAGATGTATTCTCGGCATTTATATTAAACTAAACTTCTCGACGATTAATTATTTGGGAGACCCCTCTCTACCTTGCACCAGCATGGCTGATGCTAACCTTCAGTAAAGTGGCCCGTTGCGCCTTTTCTGGCTAATGTTCTTGGCTGATAAGAAGTGGAAAGACTATATGGAATCCATTGCTAAGTCAGTTGTTAAGACATTCGGTTCGATGTGTTGGGCGAGAAAATTTTTCTCTCCAGAATCTATTACGTTGGTGCATAATTATCAGTCGTTTCTCTAGTATTTAAAAATGCTATTGCTGAATTGTTATGTTTCTTTTTTCATAATAAATATTGTTGAAAAACGCCTGATAATTATGCACCAACTCAATAGCAATGTTTAATGTTTCCTGCCAATACCGCATAAATAATGGACTATTCCTTTTTGATCTCGTAGAAAGAGGGGAAAAGACACTTCTTGGTTTCAGTGAAAGAAAGAAAATATATATATATATATATATATATATATATATATATATATATATATATATTGGTTGGTGCATAATTATCAGGCGTTTTTGTAGGCATGTTATTTGTTAATAAAAAATTACGGTTTTGTTTACTTTTTAATGCAACTATTATTTTATTTTCAGGTTAAGAAAATGACGTGTCGATAATCATACGCTCCGAAATAATCATTTAAAAATGTTATTGTTGGATTGTTAAGTTTCTTATATCAGTAAAAAATATTGTTTAAAAACGCCTGATAATTATGCACCAACTTAATAGAAATGTTTAACGTTTCCTGCCAATACCGCATAAATAATGGACTATTGCGTTTTGATCACGTAGAAAGAGGGGAAAAGAAAAGTTCTTGGTTTCAGTGGGAAAATTAAGAAAGAAAGAAAGAAAACTATATTGGGTTGGTGCATAAGATCGATTAGAAGATATCAGGCGTTTTTGTAGGCGAGGTATTTGTTAATAAAAATTACGGTTTTGTTTACTTTTTTAATACAACTATTATTTTATTTTCCGGTTATAAAAATGCGTGTCGATAATCATACACTCCGAAATAATCATTTAAAAATGTTATTGTTGAATTGTTATGTTTCTTTTTTTCATAATAAATATTGTTTAAAAACGCCTGATAATTGTGCACCAACCCAATAGAAATGTCTAACGTTTCCTGCCAATACCGCATAAATAATAGACTGATTTGTTTCAGTGGGAAAATGAAAGAAAGAAAGAAAGAAAGAAGGAAAGAAAAAAATGAAAGCAAGAAAGAAAAGAAAAGAAAAAAGAAAGAAAGGACGAAATGAAAGGAAGAAAAGAAAGAAAAAATGTTTAATGTTTGCTGCGAATACCGCATAAATAATGGATTATTTCGTTTTGATCGCGTAGAAAGAGGGGAAAAGACACTTCTTGGTTTCAGTGGGAAAAAGAAAGAAAGAAAAAAGAAAGAAAGGAAGAAAGAAAGAAATGCGTGTCGATAATCATGCACTACGGGATAATCATTTAAAAATGTTATTGTTGAATTGTTATGTTTCTTTTTCCGTAATAAATATTGTTTAAAAAACGCCTGATAATTATGCACCAACCCA